TTTTTTTTTTTTTCGTGCTAGCGCCAGTGAGAGTTCCGAGTGACCCGGTGGCAAGTGCCGTGAGAGACAGCCTCACGATTGGCCCCAACTTCAACTATCGGCAGCTGTTGTCTGCGCTCGCGCCGCTGGCCACGAGTGCTGCACTGCAGCTCAATGCCAGCTATGCCGCCGAGGAGATCTACGGCGCCAGCGGCAGCGGAAGTGGCAGCGGCAGCGGCAGCGGCGACGGCTTCAACGGCAGCGATCTCTACATCTACAGCAATGAGCTGCTGGAGCCGGACTCGACGATCGCCACACCCGCCACGATTGGCGACAGCAATGCATCGGTGCCGGCGATGCTGCCCACAATGGTAACGGCGCAGCCGACCAATCGCAGCGTATCGCGCGTCATCGCCGATGTGCCCATCTGGGTGATACCCTGCTATAGCATCATTCTGCTGTGCGCCGTCGTTGGCAATCTGCTGGTGGTGCTCACCCTGGTGCAGAATCGCCGCATGCGCACCATCACCAACGTCTTTCTGCTCAACCTGGCCATCTCGGACATCCTGCTGGGCGTGCTCTGTATGCCCGTCACACTCGTCGGCACGCTGCTGCGCAACTTCATCTTTGGCGAGTTCCTCTGCAAGCTCATTCAGTTCTCACAAGGTAAGAGGCTATTAGCTGCCCTACCCTTGTCCTTACCTGGTCTGACATAAGCGTTTATCTGAATGATATGTATGCATATATATATTTATATCGTTTTATTATGCCAATCGAGTGGCTAACCTTAAGTCATGGCAGCTACTTGAATTGTAAATGCGAGCAGTGGAACGTGGAGCGTGGAATTGCACTCATTGTGTCTCTTGGCTAATCTTTATGTGTGTGTGTGTGTGTGTGTGTGGGTGTGCATAAATGTTCGTGTATGTGTGTGTGTGTGTGTGTGTGTGTGTGTGTTTTCGCTGCAAGCTTCATAAAAACTCAGTGTACTCAGCGGACTGCAGCCTCTAATTTATGAGATGACCCACATTGAGCAGCTACGTAAATACAGCAAGTAAACCTCTCCCTCTCTCTCTCTCTCTGTCTGTCTGTGTGTGTGTGTGTGTGCGTGGCTCGAGCATTTAACGTCTGGCTATTCCCAATGCTTGTGGCCTCAATATT